AGCAATTGATGAGGGTCGATCCCTTGACTGAGAGAGGAATGCACAAAAGTCAACATCAAGAATACTGCAGTTCGACCAAATTACCAGATTCAAGCACCAGCGGACGAAAAACAGCAACAGCAACTAACCGGATCGGTCATAAGGCGATCAGAACGGGACAATGCAACAAATCACAGCGCAATCCCCCTCACTGTCGGCCATTACCTAAGGATCTTAAGGCACCTGAAGGATCCTTAGGTCACGGACTGGCCAAACTTCGGAGATGTTGGTTTCACTCGGAAAGTTTCCTGCTGCCAATTCCCTGCAACTTCCCACCTTCATCAGTTTTCGATAATGTAGCATTACCTCTTAGGCCTCCAAGTCCATCCTTATTTATCCCCCTCGCGGCCCCCGCGAGAACCATCATGGTTTTGAAGAAGTGTAACATCTGTGACCGTCGCTTCAAGAAGACGGAACATTTTAAACGTCACGAACGGTCTCGTCAGTAGATCTATCAGAACTGAGGCAATCAATCGATTCTAATGGCTCTGTGTACAGACACCAAGGAGAAGCCTTACGAATGTAATGTCTGCCACAAACGATTCTCTCGAAGGTGGGTCATGCACGTGTCCGATCCAAGCCTTATATAAGGTAGTACTTGATCAAGGACATTGAAGATGCTAATACCCCCACTACAGTGATGTCTTAAGTCGCCATGCAAAAGGCCACAATACAGCGTCGTCGAGCGCGACCAACGGGGTGGTGAAGACTGACCAGCATCATACTTCGTCTACTCAAGCGTACGATCAACAGCACTCCCGTGTCAACGGCAACGGCCAATTCATACCGAGCGTCAACCCGGTAGACGCGCAGCAGGCACAGATCGTGCCGTTTATACCGCGCGAAATCTCCCTTACAACACCGGACGGGCTTCCGTCATCGTCTCTTGACTGCCTGGCGGACATATCTGCTCATCAGGCTCGGACTCAAACCCAGCTCAACCCCATGGTGATGGATCACCAGCAGGCCTATCTCGGGTGGGGCGATGTCACCGCAACCGAACCGTCCCCGTACAGAGCGCCCGTATTCGGTCCAGTGCCGAATGACATCCTTCAATTCTGGCTGGAACCCCGGGGCGACACCACCTCAAATCCTAGTCCGATAGACCTCATGCGCGACGCCAGTGTTGGTTTCGCGGATGATCAGGCACCAGCCTCGCCTAGAGCGCGGCAGAATGGTCATTCGGTTGAGAACCCAAGCATCCAATCTCCGAGCAACATTCCCAGTGAGAGATTTGCCAGAGTACAGCGGTACTGGCTCACCCCGACAGACAACACCGGACGCCTGATGAATACGTTGTGGCGGGATGTAGCCACCTGTTCACTGGACAATATCCTTGGAGTGTATTCAGGGCAATCTTTCAATAGTCCGCCTGGCCTATCAGGGGATTTGAGGTATGGGCTGGATGAGGAATGCAGGCAGAATCTTCTGGCCACCTTTGGCCAGGCTCGACGCAGCACGTCAAATGATGCTTCGAACGCTCCACGCATGTCTGAGGCGACTTTTGGCTCTCCGCAAGCCTTTCCTCCAGCTGAAATCCTGGACATGGCACTCGACTTGTACTTTCGCAATTTCCAGCCGCTAGCACCGTTCGTGCATATCCCTACATTCTCTGCAAAAAGGACTCGCTCACCCGTGCTCTATGTCATGTGTATGATTGGTATGATCATTCTGGGTACAAAAGGAACAACATCGTTTGTCTCCAAGAATTTCAACGTAAGTCCCAACTACTGATCGTCAAGTGATATTGCTGAGTTCTTGTGTTTGCTAGTTGGTCCTTGACAGAATCACCGAAGAGTTGGCCAAATGCGCAGCAGGAAGTGAGAACCCTGTCGGTACTGTGTCTACCTTTGCCGCGGCTTTTCTTTTCCTCAATTTGGCTGCAATGACCGGGGTAGAGTCTCCACCACTGAGCCGGTTGAACCGTGCTGATTTGTCCACAGGAAAAGGAGCACATTGCTAAAAGCCAAATGCTGTATATCAACCTTATGAGTGTAGGTCTAATCCTCATCTGTCTCATTATATGAAAGCGATAAATGCCAACAGCCATCAGACTGCGCAAAGACATGGGTTATTCGCTGCAACGGAAGGACAAATTCTCGACATGAGTCTCTATGAGGCAATTCCCGATGTTGATGCAAGATGGAAAGCGTGGAGTAAAGTGGAGTCTGTGAAGCGGTGCGTATCTCAACTGTGGAAAAAAGCCCGGCTCCTGCTGACTCGCTATACAGACTAATCATCGGACTTCTGCTACTCGACTCCTGGTACTCATCCTTCTTATCAACGAGCCCCATAATCGTACCAGATGCAATACAGTTTATTTTACCGTGTGACGGAACAATCTTTGACGCGAAAAATGCCATGCATTGGATGCAGCTTATTCGCATTGGCAAGCGAATTTTGATGCCGACTGTGGTTGCTCCATCAGAAAATGTCGATCTTCCAGCGCTGGATAACTCAGTCGACGGTCTGTGCATGCACGGGGTGTTGGCAATGGTTCAACTTCGGCTCTGTGAGGCTTACCACCGCCTATTATCCAACCGAGCCAACTACCCGTTCGCGCCATGCCATACCTACGCTATGGACGGCCGTGCAAGATGCCTGCCAACGCTTCAGCTGCAAATAGCTGATAAATATAGGGAGGCCCTGGAACGACTTAATCCGAATGCTGTAGTAATGTGGCACAATATGTGCATGACGCTCACTGCGGACATCCAAATATTCGAACTGGCTGCGGGTCGGTCGGGTCCTCTGCCAGCCCGGAAAGCTCTCGATGATATCGCCGTATGGTCTCAGACACCAGCCGCCCGAAGGGCGTGTCTCCACGCCGCCCAAATATACAAAGCCATGATCAACCGCAAAGCATCAGATCAGACCATGTTCCACTCGATGCTGGCACTGTTTACTGCGGCGCTTGTGCTGGGGCTGTATACGTTCATGGCTCCACGTCCGCCAGAGACCACTGCCGGATGCATTTCCGTGGAACTCCTGGACGACGTTGACTGGCAGCAAGTGGGACGAGAAGGTTTCACCAGCTTTATGGAACCTCGCGGTAACCATGCATTCACTGCTTCGGACAATGCAGCAGTCAATTTCATTCGTAGTGGCGGTACATTGTACCTTCGCGGAATCCCAGTGCAAGGAGGCTATCAATCTGCGCGGCGCATACTACTGGACTACGCAGGGCTCCTGAAGGACTCTGGGAAATGGAGCGTCCGAAAGTTCTCTCACGTCCTTCACATTATGAGCGATGTCCTCATGGATATTGAGTAAGGTCTTGTTGACTGCGCTTCAAAGGACTATCAATCGGACTCTGCGTGTCTGATCGGCGGATATCCAGTTATCGATCACTCCGGCCATGCCTGCATCTTTGATGCAAGGTGCTTACGGATTTATTCGTCAGCTTTATCTGACAATTATCCTCGGAATGACTCCACGGTTCGGGTCCGCCTCCGAACGCTGGACGACTTGCGTCGCTGCCCCTTATTCAGCAGCTTTTGTTATTGACAGCGCCTTTGTTAACTTCAAGATCTATTGAAGTCATGTGTTATGATTATGCTATGATGACCATTGAACAGCGAAGCGCTTCTTCGTGGTTAATGTTAATGACCTCTGAGATGACCTATGGGGAAGTCTTTATGAGTTTCATGATCCCAGCGATTGAAGGGCATCTGTACGTCTATATTATTTTGTTATTTACAAAGTCCTACGAGGGTGAAGACAAGACCATCACCATTGCCGAACCCGACTCCACAGCTTATCCAACTCCTCCGGTGAGGCAATGACGCTCAGTGTGCACATTTGCCCATCGCGGAGATACGAATCTCCCTTTGGATCACCGGTCAACACCACCCTCGAACACCCACAATAGGGATCTCCGAACCACAATGCCTCGCCGTCCCTGTCACTCTTCGCCTCAACGTGCGCGCCCTCCGACTGAACCGACAAGGGTTGGTTGGTCTCGGTATACTTGGAGACGCTCAGCCCGTTGCACCGCGCATCAGGCATGTGCCACACATCTTCCAGGACAAGCTTGTTCGGTCGAGGATCACGTGGTCCGCGCTGGACCTGTAGCTCGACCGTGCCGATGCCCAGGACTCGCGACCGGCCGATCTTCCCTGGTGCTCGACGGTAGGAGGCGAAGGTGGACCGGTTTTTGGCGTAGTGGCAGTTGCCGCCGACGACGATCCAGTCCCAGCAGCGATTGTACTTGTGAGGGCCGGTGTTGGCGTTGGCCTTTTGACGTAGATGGTGTGGGAGAGTAGGAGTTGAGGCTCGTGAATGTGAATGCGATTGTGTCTTGTGGACCTTGGAGTCTCGACGACCATGCGCTTCAGCCATTTCCACTTTGCTCAATGAGAGAAGAGAGTAGATTCCTCAGACAAGAGGATCAATGAAACGAAATGAATCAAGTCAGCGTTTACACCGACACTACTAAGCGATCGACAGATGTATAGATGCCTGCACAAATTTCACCTAGACGTACTGCTGCCAACATAGACAATATTAATACCCATACCCCCGTGGCAATCTCCCACCACATGGGGAATATATCTCCTTAGACCGAGCGACACGTTATCCATGATGTAACTCTTATCAATGGTGAAAGCTAATTGCACCGGATGATCGATAATCCAATTCATACGGAGGGACCCATGAATCAGCATTAAACTCAATCTTCACAGAGAGCCATTTTGTAGACCCTGGGGAATAGCTATTTCCGCCCTTGGTTTGGCCCATATCTTTGACGTCAGGAACGGGGGATGGGGATGGGACGGGAGATAAGCTTGATGTTTGTTTTGGCGAGATCTGTTTATCTGCCCATTGATGACAATTCAGAGGTAGAAATGTATTCTTCTCTTGCGACTTGCTTCCAGCAAGATGAATGAGAATGGCCTGTATTCTACATACGAGCTGCAGTATTGTATGAATCTAAATCATTTATATGTCTATTCATCATCGTGTATACAAACTAATATGTGCAACGGGTATAGTACCAATCAACGCTCCAAACACCAGTTTCGAAGGACACTCTTCACCTATAGAGAAGCCTCTCGACCATCTCCGCAATGGCAAGCGAGCTCGTTAACCCCGGACTCTCGATCCCTAGCAGATTAATGAAGCCAGGAAACCCCTCCTCCTCCTGAATGACAAAGTCCTGGAACCCCTTGCCCGTGTTGACGGCGCCGCCACGGCCCAGCTTCGGCCGGATGCCGCAGTAATCCAGACTGATGGCTTCCGGGTCAACACGCGGCAGATACGCCTTGATCTCCGGCAGAGCCTGCTGCAGCCTCGCCGGGCTGGGCTTCAGATCCGTCGGATCATCCACCCACTCGACATCTGGCCCGAAGCGGATCCGTCCCCCCAGGTCCAGCGTCAGATGCGTCCCCAGTCCTCCATGACCCGGCAGCGTAGCCGGATAAACCAGCACGGAAGTCCGGGGAGACGAAGCCGAGTACGAGAAGTACGTGCCCTTGGCGTAGAACGGGGTGCGGTGCCGCTCCGCCGGCAGAACCATGTTGTTGATCGCGCAAGCCCCGTTCCCCGCGCTGTTGATGAGCGTCTCCGCCGTGATGGACGTCTCCGCCCCGTCCGCCGACGTAGCAGTAATCCTGTACCCGGCCTGGCCGCCATCCAGCGCCTCGATCCCTGTCACGTTCGTCAGGAACGCGCAGTCCCCGCCGCGGTCCTCGAAGTCGCCTTGCAGGTATGTCATGAGCGCGTGGCTGTCGACGATCCCCGTCGTCTCGCTCTCCACGATCCCCGCTAGAGCTTGGACATCGGGTTCCCGCCGCTGGGCCTCCTCGCGGCCGACGAGCCGGGTGGGCACGCTGAGGGTCTGCGCGAGCTTGTGTGTGCCCAGCGCGGCGGCCCATTGCTCTTCGTTCTGCGCGACGATCCATTTCTTCGTGTTGCGGTGTGGAATGCCTTGCTTGGCGCAGAGATCGTACATCATGTGTTTGCCGCGGATGCAGAGTTTCGCTTTGAGGGAATCGGTTCCGTAGTATATCCCCGCGTGGATGACCTGACCATTCAGTGATCGTGTTAGTCCATATGCGTAGAAGTAACGACAAGAATCAAATCACCTCGGAATTGCGACTGCTCGTCTCGGTCCCCACTGCATCGTGCCGCTCTAAGAGAATAGTCGATGTACCCTGTCTCGAGGCCAATTGCCGCGCGATCGCAAGACCGACAACGCCAGCTCCAATCACCTTGTCATCAATGAGTATTCATTCATCAAGCGCGACGAAAGTCTTGGGAGGAGGCTTACCGCATGTGTGACGTCTGCGCTGGAGGCCCGCGTGCTTGAGAAGTTGCGCCGTGCGAGGAATGGCCTCGATACAGCGATGCAAGCGCGGGTAGCCATCGCTGTGGCTGTAGTGAAACTGTGCTCGAGTCTCAGGGTATGTGCAAAGTAAAATTTCTGGCTTTCACAAAATTGAGAGGTAAATCATGGCTGGGACGCAATAACCGAAGAGAATCGGGACGAGGCCGATGGCCGATAAGGCCGCGATAAGACTGTAATACCCGAATCGTTCTCCCCGCGGCCTCGTGGAGTACTTACAGGCTTTGAGATACACTCTACAATGATCACTCATTAGTTACGCTCTATGGTATTGGTTAACAAGCATTCCTACCATCAATGCCGGTAGTTGCAGGTCAACGGGATCTTATTGAAACCTTCATGTACAAATATGCCATTTTACTATGAAGATATCGTACAACCCACTCTATATAATCATGTGCAATGCACGCTCAACACAAGCTGTAGCCTCGTTTTCCAACGTTCTTGAGCATCTCATCCAGGTGCTATAAGAGTCAGCCATGTCCAAATTCATAACTGCAACGCTTGCATACCTGTTTCTGTTCTGTTGCTAATTTGCCATGGGTATCCTGTACTCATGTCAGAGATCAAACACATCTCGGGGGTTAATGATCCAGCTTACACTGATGATGGTCAAAATCAAAGAATAGTTATTAAACAAAAATTTCTCCCTTCTCTTTGCGTCACCGCCGCTGCGACTAAGTTTGGTCAACAGGCCGTCGAATTCGGCAGTCAATCGCTTCAAACTGTTCGCAACAGGTTCGTCATCCCCAGCATCGCTGCTCAGCACTAATATTCCGTGCAGCAGTTGACCAAACCGCTGTGTGAGAAAGTGGGGAGCCGAAGATTGGGTCAAGTCGCCGCCTCCAGCTAATGACAAGGCAGAAACAGCACTCCGACCGGTGTTCGACGCCACTCGCTTCAAAGACTCCCGGTGAAGGTCCATAATAACTTGGAACCGGGGCCAAAGCTGCATGTTGGTTCCGTTGATGTAGGAATCGGCAACAGGCACTTTGCGACGTTGCAGTTCGAATGCCGCTTGCTGGTTCAGTCGCACACAGATCAACACCCCCAATGAGTCTGTCGAGTTCTCGGTCAATTGTTTTGTAAGACCCTGCCCCAGTGCGAAAACAGGTTCGAATATCTCAACGGCCTTCCGAGAAATCTGGTGAAAGGACAAAGTGGAAAACATCTCCGTCATAAAAGAATATTCAGCCGATATATTGTCCACCAGAGCCAGGTTGAAGTTTCTGAAAGGAACTTCAATTCCATGGAACGCATTATCCTCTTCGGCGAGATATGCAGACAGGGCCATGTGGTTACTAGTACGAAGTATGTCAATACGTCTCCCCAGCGAAAATGGGTCATGCGCAGCGGACCCAGAGCGACCTGAGGAGATGATATGCCCTATGGAATATAAGTCTTGACTGCAGAGAAGAGCAACTGGACAAACATGACGAACCTGTCTTCGGCGCGGAAGGATCTCCCCCCAGTATATCGTTCCTATCACTCGGATAGACTTTGATCTTTTCAAGAGCTTGCAGATAGCGAGTGAAATGGGAGAGATAGTACCAGCGCATAGTGTTAATGTATGCCTGCGTAATCTCTCCCGTAAGCTGAGGGTGAGCTCGGGAAATATAACTGTACAGGTCCTTAAACTTGACCAAGCGTTGCTGCTGGATAATTTGAGCATTGATGTTCGGAGAACGCAATGCTCTGATCTGGGATACTAGGTAGTCCCGAATCCTTTCCACTGCCTGTCACTCTCGTCAGCATGGACTCGAGGTTTGGATCCATGGAAAGATACTGACTTTGTTCTTGATATCATTCAGAAGCGGTCGCACATCTTCAATTGCTTTTGTGCTACTGCTACCAGAAACCTTGGCTTCTATACTCGTCATGCGTGCTTCGATCTCATTCAGAGCTTTGACCCAGTTCTCGTCAATGGGTCCTTCGGCAATCAATCGAACAGCTCTCGGCGAGATACTGATTTCCTCAACCGCGGGTCCGAGAAGTTGCTCTACTTTGCGCCGGTTCTCCAGCATCGCGTTCAACTGTACAGACCGAGTCTGGAGAGTCTCTATCTCAGCCGAAACAGCACCAAGTTCACTTTGGAAGTCGCTCAGATACATCTCAACCGATTTTGAGACATCATCACAACTTGTGATGGCAGCATGTAATTCCTGGTACTTATCTCTTTCCTTCTCGAATTGCTGGAGCGTCTGTGCACTGACATCGGTAGAGGTAGCTCTCCGTGGCTCGCCTACTTGAGATACGAACTCCTCAAGGCTAAGATCTCCGAAGTCTATCGACTCGACCAAGTGCAACGGCTTTGCTTCAGGGGTTGACGTCTTCAGAGACTCATTTGTCTCTACGTCACCCTTCTGCTTTCCAATAATGTCCTTCAGCACCTCGAGCGGATCAGCTACGTCAGAAGGACGGGACCTTGCGGCGCCTTGTTTGAGAACCGAGCCATTGACTCCGCGTGCGGTTGCCGGCAGAGAGGTGGTCGAGTCACTTGGTGTCAGCAGAACGGATAACGAGGAGCCTTGCCGGTTCTGACTCGGACGGTTGTTCAGTGGAGCAGGCGACAGGAGGGAGGAAGATCGTCGGGGAGCAGGTGAATTGCTGCGACTATCGAAAGGGACACCGGAGGGGGTGGAGTGGCCTGATATGCGATCAAGCCACATCTTGGAAAGCAGGCACGGAAGAGCGTGCGGATATTGAGAAGATCACAGCCCTCATTGAAGTCAAGCGAAGGTTGTCTGCGGAGTTTATAGATCTATGCCTGGCAAGCTCTCCGCACTGGAGGCATGCAATGCAATTGATTCCTGATATTTTCAGCGACTCAGTCAATCCAGAGATGACAGCTTATAGACATAGAGGCATATCTCAACCGTCTCTCCAAGATTAGAGGACAGACATGCGGAACATACTACACCGTCTGTTATCAGGCTTCCCTATAACCAGCTGTCTATGGGCAGGTCGAGATGCTACAGTTGGGGCCAGAGACCACCAGTGCAGCATGTCCGAGGCTAAACCGCTTTAGGGACTAGCGACCCAAGAAACCCCCGCCACAACAAAAACTACCATTTTTTGCGCAGGCGATTTGTCGATTTCTTTTCGCCCGTTCCTCCACCGTCTCCTCTAAACCCTCTCGAAGAAACTTTTTCCTCTTCCCTTTCTTCTCTCCTATCCCCCTCTACCTTAAAAGAAAAACAAATCAGGTTTCGTCCTGTTCTACTCTCATTAATCCTCCATTCTCATTCACCCTTATACACATTCACCATGGCTGACGAGGTATGACTTAGTCTTGATTCACTGTGTACTTGCTGCGTTTCTACTCTCAGGCTGCCCCGCATCCATGCACATGTCCCCTCTTCTGCTCCATACCTCAACCATCGAGCGACCAAGCAACGACTGTTTTCAACTGCCATCTTATCCAAACTGGACACTATCAACTGACATTTATTTCTTTTCAGCATGAGACCTTCGAGTCCGCCGACGCTGGTGCGTCCGCGACCTACCCCATGCAGTGCTCCGCTCTGAGAAAGAACGGTCACGTTGTCATCAAGGGTCGTCCCTGCAAGATCGTTGATATGTCTACCTCCAAGACTGGCAAGCACGGTCACGCCAAGGTTCACATCGTCGCTCTCGATATCTTCACCGGCAAGAAGCTGGAAGATCTCTCTCCCTCCACCCACAACATGGACGTTCCCAACGTCACCCGTCGTGAATACCAGCTCGTAAGTTGACCTGCCAAAGCCAAGTCAATTTCACCTCCAGGTGACTTACTGATATGCTTTGCAGCTTGATGTCACTGATGACGGTTTCCTCTCCCTCATGGACGAGAACGGTAACACCAAGGACGACGTCAAGGTCCCCGAGGGTGAGATTGGTGATAAGATCCATAAGATGTTCAACGACGAGGGCAAGGACTGCAGTAAGTGCCCAGCATTGCGCCTTGAGTCTTGAATTGTTGTACTAACACGGAATACCCTAGACGTCACCATCCTCACTGCCATGGGCGAGCAGGCCTGCATGGATGTCAAGGAGGCTCCCAAATAAATGATCCCGACACTTATGGACCTCTTCTTGCTCCGTCGGCCATTGTGTCTCCAAGGGTCTCCTGTTTCTATGTGTATGTCCTTTAGCTTATGGATGATGCGACGTTTTGGGCGATTTATGGCATGTCTGTTGCTTGACTTATGTCCGCCAATATAGCCTTGGATGTACGCTGCACCAGCGAAAGGAATTGCTTAAAGTTGACAGCATCACGTGCCCTCTGCCAGGAAGCGGTCCTATTCTTACGATAGTTTGACGATCAAAAAATTTACAAGCCTAATTAGGACAACCATTGTCATACGCGTAGCTCTGTAATTTTTCCTTTGCGAATTTCCAGCTATTGTCCTTTGTTTGAGCTGTAGTGCGAGCATTCTTGATCAGAAAATTGCTCATAACTCTAGGTTGTCAAATTAAATTGTTCTGACCAGTTGACCAAGATATGAGGTATCAAAAATTCTTTTCTGGTATAAGCACCTATGGACCGAACCACACCCTGATCATTTCTCCCTCTACTCTTCCACCCCATCAGACCATTCAAGAATGAACACAGCCGCCCAGGATGGAGTATACCACCCGAGGGGTTTGTGGGCAGGACGGGTGCCGTGAGACTCGATATTATCTAGACAACGGTCTCTGGTTTTGCAGGCGGGGTCATCAGCAGGAGGTACGGCCAAATCAGCCCAACCCCCGCCTTCTCCAACGCATCACGCGGAAGCTTTCTAAGTTCTGATGGTTAAATTTTTCTGCAGGGTTTACAAGTGGAGGAAGATCCCGACGATTTCGGCACGCAGGGAAAGACTAGTCGTGTAAAGAAGGCTGTAGCTGAAAAGGGCCATAAGAGTGAGCACCCAATAACCATGTCCGAGAAGATTGTACATTTGCTAAGGACGTGATAGCGTATCGTGGTCGGCAGGCATACACTCTTTTTTTGCAGATTTATCAATTGATTCTGTGGAAACAATGTCACGCCTTGGTCCAAGGACGAGGCTTTCCAGCGCAGCTTGAGGTAAGTGGAAGTACCTATGCTTCACCCAGCCATCATTCCCGATTGCAGTGTCTGACTGTTGAGATCCAGGTTGTGGTCCGAGATCTTTGGGCCCTTCGTTTGGAAAGCCTGTCGGAGCGGCTGAACGACCCTGCTGAAGATGATAGAGAACCTGAACTCTTCAGTTCACAGCCTGCCGCGACGCTTGATGAGCCCGAGGGAGCATTCAAGCTCGGTGGGAGAGGGGCTCAATGGCCCAGACTGATCGACACAATCGGGCTGTGTTATTTGGGCTGCCTGCTCATGAGGCTTCCAGTCACTATTGGAGAATTTCATCGGTAAATCTTCTTTACAGTTCATAAGAACGAGAATGAACATCTGACTTTGAGACTCTTTCCAGGATGCTCATGCGAGAAGATATTCCTTTCATCAGGGTCCTCAGATTAATCCCACGGGAGATGAGGGATAAATTACCCCAGGAGTACATCGCTCTCTTGGAGACTACTGTAAGGCTCTACCTCCATGATGCCGACTGTGTCAGTACTGACCCTCGGATAGAGATTGATAAAGGCTGAGCATCTTCACAAAGCGACCCTGGAGCTATCGCTCTTGTATAACAATAAGTTTGGTGTTCAATTCCCGTCCTTGAACACACCGGCCGTGTTATATCGCTATATCAAACGTCTCGCGCTCCCAGGTAGGACTGTTCATGCTTGATATTTCTCGGTTCGCAGTCTTCTAACCTTCATGCAGTCGAGGTATATCCCGCTGTTAAAAGGCTACAAAGCCTCGTAGGCTTCACATTTGAGTTTCCAACGACCGTCCCCGGTAGAAGTCGGCCACTTCACCTGCCTGAAGTGCAGCTTATTACGCTTATTGTCATTATTACTAAATTGTTCTTTCCATTTGACGACATCAAGAGGTATCCCGTATCTTCACGGGAACCCAGCGCACAGGTGCTTGACTGGGAGCTTTGGGGACAAGTTCAAAGACACTTCGACAGCCGAGAAACGGTTGGGGCAGGATCGGAAAGGGGAATGAGATACTCGTCACTGAGAAAGACGTCTTCAACATGGCTCCGGCCCAATTGGATGAATACATGGACTGGTACGAGACCAGTTGGCTGGATCACAGCAGAGGTAAAGTGGCCATGCAACTCCGTCCTACGAGGTATGATGAACGCTAATCCCCCGAAGTGTTGAACCCGTTAGCAGAGTTCTTCCCGATTGGTCCGACGGCCTCGGAAGGCCAGACTGTTAGCGACTCCACAGAAGAAGATGATGATGCTATGCATGCAATGCTGCAGACAGTTACGAGCCAACTGAAACCAAGAAAAACTATTTCTGATCCTAAGGCCGATGTGGCTCGCCCGGGTTCATTGTATCCGCGTTACCGGACCGAGTCCGAACTGCCAGAGATGGCAAGGTTCTTTTACGAAACTGCTGCTAAAGTAGCAGGTGTCTCTTTGTCCACACTCGTTAGAGCTGTATCGCAGACTGAGACCAAAATCTCTCGATGGTTGGACGATAAGAGGAGGATTGAGCACCATGGAGATCCTACGGAAATGGACGTGACTGATGAAGCGGGCACTGAAGATATGGAAGCCATGGAGGATGAGGATATGTCTGGTTTGAGTGATGAGTCCTGACTGGAGATATGCTAGATTAGCAATTCCTAGCCAAGTATTAAAGTCATATTGTGCCTCAGGCTCTTAACGGGAAAAGGGAGTGTTTTTCCAAGGAAGAACGTCAGTGAGTCGAACTACGACAAATTCCAGTCAGACTAAAATTCGATGAGCATCCAGCAACGTAGACAGGCTCTAGGTATGTAGTTAGACGTTTGATGTATGGAAATGCGGAGATAACCCGAAACAGGAAAGTGGCACCTGCCGACCAGCGGCAACTAAAAGTGATGACGAAAATAGTCATTAGGGCTTAGGGTATCACGGCGTCGGTCCACCCAGGCTAAGCGAGAAATCCTCAAATTGACATTGCCTCCTACGAACGAGTATACAGCGATCGTCAGCCAGCAACAACGAAAAATCGCAACCAGTACGTACAGCATCATGCTCTCCTACGCTATATATTTGATCTATGGATTACGAGCTAACATACCCTTTTTTTCTGCGATTTTACAGTGCAGATGTAGGTCTTCCTGAGCCTTCCCGACCAACCCAGTGCCCATTTACCCAACCTCATCCCATCCGTCGACACGAGCTATGCGGGGCATCCGGAAAAGCCATGACTGACAAGTTTCGATCAATAGTTTCGTCAAGACCCTGACGGGTAAGACCATTACCCTCGACGTCGAGTCGAGCGACACCATCGACAACGTCAAGGCCAAGATCCAGGACAAGGAGGGTATCCCCCTGACCAGCAGCGCCTGATCTTCGCCGGTAAGCAGCTCGAGGATGGCCGCACCCTGAGCGACTACAACATCCAGAAGGTACGCGAATTCTCTATCGGACGACGTTTGGGTTTCGTTTCATTATGCGCATGGGGTACTGTTGGATGACGGGGGTTGTTCGCTGGATTGCTGGACTTGGTTTCCGGATCCTCCGGCAGGAACCGTCTGCGCTGGAAGAAGCATGGGATTGTTATGGGGTTTATATGGTTATTGGGAAGGATATTTTGGGCTGACTGGATGCTTTTTCACACATTTAGGAGTCCACTCTCCACCTGGTCCTCCGTCTGCGTGGTGGTATCATTGAGCCCTCTCTCAAGGCTCTCGCTTCCAAGTACAACTGCGAGAAGTCCATCTGCCGCAAGTGCTACGTACGTCTTTGTCCCGATCGCTCGACCCAACATCTGAACCCGCTACTTGGGATGCTCGCCTTGAAGTCCTTGCTAACTTGATCCCTGGATAGGCCCGTCTTCCTCCCCGTGCCACCAACTGCCGTAAGAAGAAGTGCGGTCACACCAACCAGCTGCGCCCCAAGAAGAAGCTCAAGTAAACGATTTCTATCTTGTTACGGTTTTTCCGCGTTGCTGGGGAAAAGAGATGCTCGGAGCTATGACGTGGTTGCTGCATGGGAGGTTTTGAAAGGCGTTGGAATGATGAAACATTATAGCCGAAGTCACATATTTTAGTTGACCCCTCTCGAAAGAAGTTGCGCAATCGAACATCTGTAAAATTCAATTCTGCTCTCTTGAACCTATGCCGCGGGAAATACGAGTACAGATTTGCGTTCAAAAAGAAACCATGCAGAGATATATGAGGCTGAGGTACAGAAAACACCGGGTGAATGACGTTGTGCTGCCTGAGCCAACATCGTGCCTCAAAAGACACCGGGTAAACATTGTAAATCGAACAAATCCGGCCCTTTTGTATCAGAACATCCGTGGCTTGTCATCGTGGTCGTCATCATCGTGGTCCTTGTTCTTCTTGGAAACGGGGCTTGCATGCCTGCACCTCGTTAGTAAAATGATCAGTTGATCCCAAACAACCCGACTTACGCAAAGAACAAGATCTTGATAGCAATTGCGAAACCCGCATGGAGAACAATGACCAAGATCAAGAGGATCTTGCTCGTCTTCGCATCCGTAGCGCTCAGAACAGGGTACAAGTTCCTCAGCAGGAAGAAGACCGTCCAGCCGAAGCCAACACCCACAAGCGCCCAGTTGAGCGCAGTGAGAGGGCTCCAGCTCACCAGCGCAACAGCAATCCAAACCAGATTGGAATAGCCGTACAGTGCCCAGCATTCGATCAAGTCCGCGGTGGAGCTGCCGAACCAGCGCAACGCCCCCCACAGAGCGATGGGGATGACGCCCGTGTACCCGTAAACTAACCCCGCAGCACCCGAGAGAAGTGTGAAATCGTACTCGAAATGCTTGTCGTTATTGTTTGAGAGCCATTGCGAGATCGTCCCGGTCAGGAAGAGGATGACGACTACTGTTGTTGCGATCCAGAACGGCCCGTACAGGTCCGCGTTACCTTCCAGGACATCGAGGAAGTTGGTGCGTGGGTACAGCGCCGACACGCATCGCCGGAGCACTTCGTTTGTATCGACGTCGAAGAACTGCGAGTAGTAGTGGATGGACCACCAGGCGTGTTTGGAGGGTGTGCCGCCGGGGGATCTGTCGCGGCCGCGGGATGTGCCTGCGCCGAGGAAAGGAGCGGAGTCTTGCTGGACTTTTGCGTTTCGAGGGTCGTTTTCAAAGTCTGTTAATTGAGAATATAACCATCAGTGCTTGAAAGGTGGGAAAGTAGAGTTGCTTGGGAATTCGCCTTACTGGATGGGTGGAATTCGAGGTCTTCCTGGAGGTCGGTATGACCGAGGTCGCCCTAGAGCAACATTAGACCAAGTGTTCGCTAAGATATGAGCATTGAAATCAATTTTTTTTTACCTCAGCATCAACATCTACAACCACATCATAGCCCCGGTTTGCCATATCGGCTTCTTGTTTTTATATTGAGCTCTGGTTGATCACGGAGGGAGAGGTGCAGGAAATTAGAGTACACATCAGCTGTCAGGGCGTTGTTGATAAAGCCACACACCAGCCACTAGCTACTGTGGAGACACCTACGTATGCGAGTTTGCTACGAAGTGCAACCCCAACACTATTCATCCTAGTCTTGGATGTGGAACAGTAGAAATGGCCCTTGACAAATTGATTTTCAGCCAGATTATTTTGATTAATGGTACTGTTGTACATAGTCGCACATTCTTCATGGTATTGACGCTCTTCATGTCTCCTCACATCTACTGTATCTCGTCGGCGCCATAGTAAAAGCGCAGTCACATCGAAATCATAGGAAGCCACTTGCGAAAAGCCGTTTTCAATCCAGCGAAATACGACCACAAGGGCGTATCGAACCCTTTCTTTCGGATCCAGATAGACATGGCTCCAATGAAGATGGCGACTGCCACCGACCCGACCGTCCTCCTGTGATGCCACAAGAAGGTGATGGCCTTTTCTCTTAGTTCCTCGTTATGCAGTTGTCGTATTTGTTTCTCGAGGAGCCGTACTGCTTCGTCTCTGGTTTGCTTATTGAATGGATCCCGCGAAGATTTGAGCACACTGTGCTGAGAGATCCTCTTCCAAGCCCCGAAAGGCAAAGACTCAGGTGGGTAATCATTGAACAGTTGCATAGCGCTCGATATGAGGCTATCCAGATCTAGAGGCTGTGGTAATTTTGAAAGAGTAAAGTGCAACATCTCAGGTTCGTCTGCAGGAATCTCCAGCAGCTCCTTCTTGCGTGAGAGTATGATCGCTGCGAAGAGGTAGATAGACACGACAGGCTCCGTAGCCAAGAGGAAGTCAAACAGCCGTGCAATGTCGCTGTACTCCTGGATATCATGGGCATACAATGTGAGTGTTGCTGCAAGGGCAAAGAATGGTTTTATGCCTCCGAGGTGCTCCCGCAAGGCCGGATCAGCTTTCTCGATAATCGCGGGAATAAGCTGCAAATGCTTCAGCGCAGGGGTGAGAGACGGCAGCATATAGTCCCTAATTCGGAACAGGGAGATATTGGTCACAGCTGGGGCTGCCCCCTTTTCACCAAGTACCAGAAGTAGTACTTGAACGATATCATGGTACCCCTGGAAGTAACAAAGCATCGGGTATTTCCGAAGTACTCCCCTTATGAGAATTGATAATTCGTCCTTCTTCATCAACAGTTCATCCTCAGCGCCTATAGATATGTTCAGCCAATGATAGCGAGAATTTGCAGGTCCTGAGAGCTGTACATTGAGGATAGTACACAAATGACCGATTTACGTCCAGTTGAACTTGGTCTTCATCTCCATGCGAAGGCAGGTCTTCCCAAGCTGCGAAATCCGAGCCTTGTACATCTCTGTCGCTTCGAAGAAAAATGGGCCCTAGTTTGATGTTACCAAGATATTTTCTATCCGTTCATTAGGAACTTACAGGCTAATCGCCTGAGGTCATCGCTCAAGAGACCGCCCTCAGAGGTCGCATACGAGACGAGAGCATCTAAATCACGTAAGTCGCATGCTTTTCGGATCGCTTCCTCTTTCTTGGGCCGAGCGATATCCTCATTGTCTGAATCCAACAAATTTCCTGGAGGATCGTTTCTAGGTACGTCTTGTTTTTCGTCCAGGGTCTCTGGCTGCGTAGTGGAATAGTCATCCATTTTGGCAAATGGACGGATGAAAGCTCGCTCCTCAACAAGAGGCACAAAATCTCATCTCTTAACAGATTGAGATAGGGTTGTGGCATCAAATGCCTGGCAAGATAAGAAGTGCACTGCTTGCGTTGTGTCCTGTCTGCAGGGTTAAGACAGGCTGGGCATTACGCAATGAAGATGAGCCTCCTGAATTGGAAACGAAACATTGCCATAAGCGAGGATATTTACTTTGGTAATGCCTGATCAACACCAAATTTCCGTCTATAAGATGACGAACAGCACCCAGCGCTCATCCAAAGGCAGTAATCAACGTAGGAGCTGAGTTTCTAAAGCTGATGCGCAAAGCCAGAAATGGGAAACGTGCCGGCCTCAGGCCGCCATCATCGATCGGATGTCCCGTGATTTGGTTGAACCATCCACCGCCCAAAGAAGGAAAGGGGACAGTTACATACTGCTAGGGGTTTGACGAGTGTAGAATCATCATTCTCCTATTAGATCTCCCATCTAAGGAGATATCGGCATTGGTTTCGGTCTATGCTATCACGAGTTGCACTGTGGCTTAGCTGTGGAAGGAGCAGAAACGCCGGGTTCCTCCGTACAAGCCACAATAGTGGTGCAACTACAAGGAGGGGCATAAAACAAGATACTGACTACTCTTCGGCAAATTAATAGTGGCAATTGAATTGCTGCGAGCATCATCTGAGTCACAATTGCAGTCCCTTCAAAGAGCGTTCGTCAAACTTTCCTGGTCGTTTCATCGTTCTGACTTAGGATCCGAAAGTAAAAGTGAAGGTGTTATTGCGCACCACATATAGTTTTGCTATACTGTAAGTGTTTTCCCCGTCGCTTATTGCCCCTCCTCACCTGGCCGATGTCTTACTGACTTGTCGCTCAGATAAAATAATCTGTGTTGGCTGCAGCTTGGCGATGATTATTCTGCTCTATGACCAAAGTTATTTTGCTTACTCCACAAGTTGCGGAATTGCCATACTGTGACTGCTCCAAGCTCCCCTAGTGGACTCAAAATGGGACCAGGCACTGAGACTACTCTGGCTCGTGAACTAAAGCACCTACTTGACTTCTAGACTCTGTGCAAGACTTAGCTTTCCGTGAGAGTCTTCCATTCACCTTCGTACTATTGCCAACATCATTTGTCGCTGGGAGATTTTGTCGAGCCGCCATGTCCCTTCCACTGTCTGACCGAGGTTTTGATGCTTCTGGCAAGCGACAGGATATGGATCAAATGGACATAGAGCAAGAAGGACCATCAACTACGAAACCTATGGTTGGGTTGCTCTCACAGACGCTGGTCTCCAGCCCCATCATCCAATTGATTCTACCAGCGCGCCTGAGAAGCAAGCACCAAAATGATGTTGTCTTTGTTGGCGAAAGGCACATACAAATCAAAGAAGCGCTATCAGGCGTCCACTTGGAAGACGTCAATTCAAAATCTGACTTCGATGCCTACATCATGGCAGCGAAGGTCATCAATGTGAGCACAGAATTACCTTGGGAGGCCCAGATGAAGCTGGCAGCCAGCAAAGCAGCTGTCACGGATCCTGGATCGCGGCAAGAGCTCCCACCACAAATACTGGTTCTCAGTCTTGCATCGAAAGAACTAGTCTTTCTTTATTCTTCGTCAACAAGCGGCCACTTCATTCACCATCATCGCCCTTTACCAAATGATGTCAGTACCTTTGAGAGATTTGGCCGGAACATCGCGGTGGAGCCGCGGTAAGTCTTATCTCTATACTTGCAACCACTCGGCTAATAGATTGAAAAGGTCCCGTGCGGTAGCAGTTAGTGCTTCGGCCGCTTATTTCGGAGTATTCATGTTGAAGAAGCCGCCAGTTCTCCAGTCACAGATGGCTTCGAGCCAATTAGATCCTATCACAGAGGTATGCACCTCAATCCAGCGCTCGATATTCGTCTTGGATACTCACAGCGGCACCACTTCTATAGGAACGCTTCTTCCGGGTAGAAGGCGACATTCTGTTCATGGAGTTTTTGTACCCGAAAGCCGAAGATGGTGATAAAATCATCCTGCTGCTCTTGGTCTCACAGAATCAGGTGACGCAAGCTATCTGCTATGAATGGCACGCAGACGAGACGATACGACAAGCGTCTCCGAGAATTACAAAGAGGTTCCTTCCTCCTGAAGACACGTTACCCACGATGTTGATTCCATTGACCAAGACATCCTCCTTTATGCTAATCACAACGACTTCAATGGCTGTCTACAAGAACAGGCTTGATCCGCGAAGACAGCCCAGTCGATATCCTCTCCCTGTGCCTGATCGCGAATCTAAAAAAGCACCCCTTTGGACGCGTTGGGCAAGGCCATTGCGCAATTGGTCATATAACCAGCGACACGACGACATTTACCTTTGCCGTGAGGATGGTAGGGTTTTTTACCTGGGAATCGGCAACGAAGGTGAACTTGAAAATCAAGCACATCTGGGACAACTCTGCTGCGATGTGGATGCTGCATTTGATATCCTCGATATCGGTCATGAAGGTGGAGACCTCCTTTTGGCCGCTGGGACCACAGGAGACGGCGGCCTTTTTGTTCAGAAGGCTCGTGACCAACCTCGATGTGTCCAAAAATTCATCAACTGGTCCCCAGTGACGGATTCCGTTATTGTAAGCTCTGGCCAGGATTCATCAGCCTCAGACACAGCCAGAGACCGATTATTCGTGTGCTCCGCTTCCTCCTATGGGCGAGGTGCAATATTCGAACTTCGGCATGGCTTGGAGGCACAGATTGGCTTGGTCGTCTCACTCGAGGAATTGTCAAGCACGAGGGATATTTGGACAATGTCGGATGACATAAACGGAGGTGTTTACATATTGATCTCCGATCCCGTCTCCTCTATTCTTCTGTATCTGTCTGCGGACTTCGGGGAAGAGATGTGTGCTATAGACGAAGCAGATTCTGGGTTAGACTTTAGTTCGCAGTCCTTGGCAGCCGGATGCGCCAGCTCCGGCGTGCTTGTCCAAGTTACTGAGAAGGCGATTCTTCTCGGTACAGCCAATGAGTCCACTCTGAGGTCTCGCTTTGAGTTTGGCTCTGACCAAAGTGTTGCCGTTGCTGCCGTCCACAGCTCGGCATCTTTAATTGTCTCTGCTGTGCGAACACAACATGAGATGCACCTCTCTCTCAGGAGCATTATCATTTCCCAGGACCAGCTTCAACTATCCGAAATTGCTCAGCCTTTGCCATTACCCTATGAACCTGTTTGCATTCTCGTTGAGGTTTTGGGTACCTTTACTCTCATATTTGTTGGCACAGGCAATGGGAAAGTCTTGATCTACAGCTTCGAAGACTCAATCAAGCTCCTGTCAGAAGTTTCCCTTGATGTGGAAAACGGGGACGACCTATCTAAAGCAATCGAAAGTCTTGCTGTGGTCGCCATTGACACCGATGGACCTTCCCAGAAGTACACAATACTCTGTGGGTTAAGAAGTGGTATTCTGGTCCCTTTTGAGATGACGTTAGGCCATGGTGACAAGAAATCTGCAATTGGTATGTTGAATCTGACATTGAATCTCAGAGCTTCGCTAATAGGCGTATTCTTTTTTTTTCTAGAGGTCAAACAAGCGAGCCCCCGACGAATTGGGAATACTTCTGTCAAGATACAAAGTAGGGGACACTTCGCTTTGTTGACCTGTGGACGGGGATTCTGGCAGGCGTCGTGTTCACGGAAAGACGGCGTATTAGACCCTAACCTTCACTTGCAGAGGATATGGGTCACCGATCAAAATAACGTAAGACTACATTTCCATCTTCAAATCCCACTGCTTCTCCTGACATTTTGTAGCCTGCGTATCATCCAGGCAACGTCCACAGTTTCGCCATGGCAAAGATCATTGATCCAAACATCGATGGCGAATCCGACACCTTGTTCTGCATCGCCGACGGTCAGCTCTTGATTTGCACATTGGATCACGCTGCGAAGACAGTTCCTCGAAGGATTGATCTACCGGGAAGCGCAAGCAAGTTAGCTTATTCCAGCTATCTGAGAAGCCTGATTGTCGCGTACACTCGGACCGAACTCGACACCGAATCTGATCCTATCAGAAGACTGACTCGGCCTTTCATTGAGTTCGTGGAGCCGGATACGCAACACGGGGTCTCAAAGGCCGTTGACGTCTCTGAAGACGGTTACTCGGCGTGGAGACCTCACGGAGCGGCTGGAGAAAAGATCAGTTGTATCTTGGAATGGACACCTAAGAAAGGCGATGAAGAATACCACTTCATTGTCATCGGAACAGCTAGAAAACAGCAGCAAGAACGGGGACGAGTCATATTTCTACAAGCGTCCCGCAGCTCGTCCGACTCCTCGAGGATTGAATGCTCTGTGAAATATATCCATAAATTTGAGAGTCCTGTTTACGCGATTGCTCCATACGGTGATTTCACATTGATGGTCTCGACGGGTCATGAGATCGTACCATTGGAGCCCAAGCTGTCACAGACACGTCGTGTTCGAGCAGCGAGATACCCAATGCTTTCCCCAGCGATTTCCTTAAGCTGCCATGAGCCTTACGTATACATGTCGACATCGAGGGAGTCGCTGATGGTGCTCAAATCCTCCGAAGACAAATTACTGCTCCATGCATACGATCGTCAGAAGCATGACGGACTCTCCCATATTCACATTGGCGGTGAGTCTAATTCGACGATCACCAGCAGCAGGGGCGGCCGAGTCAGCATAATTTCTGAGAATGGTATTACGGACAACGACAAGATGACGCCGGTTGCGCTGTGTGAAGCACATCTTCCCTCATCCGTGATGAAGCTCAGCTCAGGATCTAAACCATCCCCATTCTCTCGCTCATCCCAGGTGTACTATGGCACAGCTATGAACGGGATAGTTTACCGGTTCTTAACCTTAGAAGAGAAAGAGTGGCGCTTACTACGTCAGCTTCAGAACCTCTGTATTAGAGATCCAATACTGTGCCCTTTCACGCCCAAAAGGAAACGAAGACGCAACCCGGCGACGAATGGCATCGCAGAGCCCCAACCTTCACACATGCACATCGACGGCGACATACTGAGTCGCCTCGTGATGCGTGGTTCGGATTATTTGAGAAAAATGTTGACGACCCAGGACTTTGAAGACGCAGCCTTTCCAGAAAACGGCAATGCTCAAGCCACTCTGGAGCTATTCACTGAGCTGTCCAACAATCTGCTGGGAAAATCTCCTGACCAAGTCGAAAAGGTCATGAGATGGTTGGAGAAGGCCCTCCACATGGAGTTCTGAATACGGCAGAGACGGCAGATTCACGAATGCGGCTAGATCTTTCTTAAATTGTCGAGAGGAGAGCGCTAATTGTCTTCTTGTGTATTAGTAGCAATGAACGCATTCACATGGTTCGATATATGGAGAGCATAGATACACTCTGACATGTTACCTTTAGAAAAGAAGTCCTGAGCGGATCAAATCGTTTTCATCTTGAATAAACGAAACTCGAGCTTTCAGAGATAAAGCGTAACAGCATAACTATTGCTGGCTCTCATTCATGGTGGCAAGTAATGGCAGTGTCGTGCCACCAACTGGCGGCGATTCGGCTCGCATAACAGGAGTCCCCACCAAACCAACCCAAAATTCTTATTATTTCTCCAAGAGCACCACCGACCGCCGCTCGAGTCTTATCAACCACCAGAAGAGGGGGGAAAAAGTGGTTCTCTGCACCTTTCTCACCGTCTCTCTTTTTCATTCCTATCGTTGAGGATATTTTCAGGCCGGCCGTCTTTTTTCGCCGCCGCTCCTCTTGGTCAGATTCTATCGGTTGCCGCGGATCGCTGCCCGGAGACTTCGATATTGTTCGTGTGCCCGCCACAGCTCGTTTACAATTATTGCAACAACAAAGGAAATCGCCTTTATACTAACGTTTTAGGTCTTTAGGCGATTTTCTGTCGATTCATCGCATTCACTACATCGATCGCTTATCACTACAACTTAGAAAATGGCGCCTAAGAAGAAGGGAAACAGAAAGCAGGATGACGACTGGGAGGCCGAGCTGGGAGAAAGTATCGCCCCCGCCAGCGAGCAGCCTCAGGAGGAGACTCCTGCGGACGCCGCTCCCGAAGAGGATGGCATGAGTGGCGGTCTCCTCGCTGCTTTGAGAAAGAACAAGAACAAGAAGGCCAAGAAGGGCAAGCCGGTCAACGATTTCGTCGAGGGTGAGGATGCGACAGAGCAGGCGAACGGCGATGCCGATTTCTCCAGCAAGCAGCCTGAGGAAGGCACATTCGACGAGGAGGACGTTTTCGCCGGAAAGAAGAACCAGAAGCCTGCGAAGGCTACACCTCCGGCCCCGGCTTCAGTTGAAGGCGATGGCGAGATCCGCGTGAAGAGTAAGAAGGAAAAGGAGAGGGAAAAGAAGGAGAGGGAGAAGCAGCGTAAGAGGGAGCAGGTATGTGTTTTGTCTCGGTGCACTATTGTCCCCTTGCAAGGCGTGTGAGTACGGTGCTGATCTAGGATAACTGTATAGGCCTTAAAGAAGAAGGTTACTGCTCCCGAGCCCAAGGCCGAGCCTGCCAAGGTTGAGAAGAAAGAAGAGGCAGCACCAGCCGCTGCTGCTCCCGCACCTGCTGCCGCCGCTCCTGAGGCGCCTGGCAAGAAGAAGAAGCTCCCCGCCCATCTGGCCGCTATTCAGAAGCAACAGGAGGCTCTTCGGAAACAACGTGAAGAGGAAGAGCGACGTTTAGCTGAAGAAAGGGCCGCGGAGGAGGAGAGACTGCGCCGCGAAGCCGAGGAAGAGAAGAAGAGGGAAGAAGCTCGCCAGCGGAAGAAGGAGAAGGAGAGGGAAAAGAAGGAGCAGCTCCGAAGGGAAGGAAAACTTCTCACCAAGGCCCAGAGGGAAGCTAAGGAGCGCAACGAACTTCGAATGAAGCAGATGCTTGCAGCCGGTGTGGGTAAGGTTGCTGGTCTCGAGGAGCCGGGAATCGAGAAGAAGAAACCCGTGTACGACAACAGAAAGCGAAAGGGTCCCAAGAAGCAGGAGGAAGACCTTGAAGCTGCTGCTGCCCGTGCTCGCGCTCAACGTGAGGCTGAGGAGGAACGACGCAAAAAGGAGGAAGAAGAGAAGAAGGCTAAAGCTGAGGCTGAGGCTGCCGCCGCCGCTGCCGCCGCCGCTGCTGCTGCTGGTGGTGACGAGGAGAGCGAAGTGGATGATTGGGAGAAGGCTGCTGAGGCCGAAGAAGACGTGAAGGACAGCTGGGATGCTCCTTCTGAGGACGAGGGAGAGAAGCCAGCCACAAACGGCGCGGCCAAGCCCGCAGCTGCACCCCAACAGAAGGCCGAGGTGCATGAGTCCGAATCCGAGGAAGATTCAGAGGAAGATTCGGAATCTGAGTCAGAAGATGAGGAGAAGTCTGCCGCGAAGAAGGCTATTGCTCAAAGAAAGGCCGAAGCTGCCGAGCGGAGGAAGAAACAGCATGAGGAAGCATTGGCCGCTCGTTCTAAGGACAATCTGCGTTCTCCTATTTGCTGTATTCTTGGCCACGTCGATACCGGTAAAACCAAGTTACTGGATAAGATCCGACAGACTAACGTGCAAGAGGGCGAAGCTGGTGGTATTACCCAGCAGATTGGTGCTACATACTTCCCCGTGGACGCTTTGCGCCAGAAGACCGCTGTGGTGAACAAGGATGGCAAGTTCGAGTTCAAGATTCCCGGTTTGCTGGTCATCGATACACCTGGTCACGAGTCTTTCTCGAACTTGCGTTCGAGAGGTTCATCTCTCTGTAACATCGCCATTCTGGTTGTCGATATCATGCACGGTCTCGAGCCTCAGACTTTGGAGTCCATGAGATTGCTTCGGGATCGCAAGACTCCTTTCATTGTTGCTCTGAACAAGATTGACCGTCTCTATGGCTGGAAGAAGATCGACAACAACGGCTTCCAGGACAGTTTGGCCATGCAGAGCAAGGGTGTTCAGAACGAATTCCGCACCCGTCTTGAGCGCACGAAGCTTCTCTTCGCCGAGCAAGGTTTCAACGCCGAGCTCTACTATGAGAACAAGTCCATGGCCCGGAATGTCTCCTTGGTTCCCACTTCCGCTCACACCGGTGAGGGTATTCCCGACATGTTGAAGCTGTTGACCACCCTGACTCAGGAGCGTATGACCAACTCGCTCATGTACCTGTCCGAAGTTGAGTGTACTGTTCTCGAGGTCAAGGTTATTGAGGGTCTTGGTACCACCATTGACGTTGTCCTTTCGAACGGTATTCTCCGTGAGGGTGATCGAGTCGTGCTCTGCGGTCTAAACGGTCCCATAGCAACGAATATTCGAGCATTGCTGACACCAGCTCCCCTTAAGGAACTCCGTCTCAAGTCGCAGTATGTTCACAACAAGGAGGTCAAGGCCGCTCTTGGTGTCAAGATCGCTGCCAACGACCTCGAGCATGCTATCGCCGGTTCGCGGTTGATGGTTGTTGGACCTGATGACGACGAGGAGGATATTGAGGAAGAAGTCATGTCCGATCTGGAGAACCTGCTGAGCAAGGTTTCCCGTGACCAGCGTGGTGTCAGTGTCCAGGCTTCTACCCTTGGTTCTCTCGAGGCTCTGCTCGAGTTCCTGCGTGTCTCCAAGATCCCTGTGGCCAACATTTCCATCGGTCCTGTTTACAAGCGTGATGTGATGATGTGTGGTACCATGTTGGAGAAGGCAAAGGAGTACGCTGTCATGCTTTGCTTCGACGTCAAGGTGGACAAGGAAGCGGCTGCGTACGCAGAGGAAGTTGGCGTCAAGATCTTCACGGCCGACATTATCTACCACCTGTTTGATGACTTCACCAAGCACATGGCCGAGTTGACGGAGAAGAGAAAGGAGGAGAGCAAGCTCCTCGCTGTCTTCCCTTGCGTGCTCAGGCCCGTTGCTGTTTTCAACAAGAAAGACCCCATCGTCATTGGTCTGGATGTCATTGAAGGCAGCTTGAGAATGCACACTCCAATTTCCGCTGTGAAGACCAACCCCACTACGGGTGCTAAGGAGATCATCGACCTTGGCAGAGTGTAAGTTTACTTCGACCCTGATTTGACGTTCCTATTGCTAATCAAGTCCATGCAGTGTGTCTATTGAGCGTGACCACAAGCCTATCCAGGTTTGCAAGAAGGGCCAACCTTCCGTCGCCGTCAAGATCGAAGGAGCCAACCAGCCCATGTACGGCCGTCAACTGGAAGAGAAGGACACCCTCTACTCGCACATCTCCCGTGCCAGTATCGACACCCTCAAGGAATTTTACCGTGCCGACGTATCGATGGAGGAATGGGCTCTTATCAAGAAGCTCAAGCCCGTGTTCGACATTCCTTGATTCAATTCGTCCAAGGTGTGATAGTCTCCTGCTGGAAACCCACAATCCCCACATGCTCCTGATCGCTTGAGGTTATCAGACATGGTGAGATGGCAACTACGGCACAGACGGCACCATTGTAGGTAGCGGGTTTCGGGGCGGTTCTTCAAAGGAGGCTACTTTGGACTTATGAGCACATAGCATTTGCTTCCTCGATCTCGGGAGGCTTTTACTTTACCTCATCAACGAAGCGCAATGATCTCCGCAGGAAGAAAAAAGTCAAAGTGCTAGACTTTCACGGAGAACGACGATGACTTTGATTGCCTAAAAGCGATATATGCCTGTATATGACATGAGTTGATGTGGTCTGTATCTTTCATGTTTCTGTTATAATGATATTTCCTTTTTGGATGAATTCCCTTTTTGATTTATGTATCTTATCCCATAGTATCAATAAGTGCATAAGACATATCTTTGAGAGTAGATTTCCAAATTCCCTCCTAGGGCCTACATCGCAATAGCATCAGTCATAGTCAATCGCAATTTCGTAGACAGGTCACTATATACAGTATCTTGACAAGATAACCCAAGTACATCGACATCGCTACAGTCTACTACTACATACCACACCCTACTCATGTTCGGGCCCCTCCCACTTCTCCACTCTCCCCCCTTATCAGCCCAATCCAACCAACTCCCCTCATACACACCAATTCTGTCCGGGTTATACCCGGCCTGCACCGCCAACTGCGCCGCCGTCTTCGCCCTCACGCCCGCCTTGCAGTAGAAAATGATATCGCCCTCTTCCTCGATCCCAGGCTTCGGGTACCCAAAGCGAGTCTCGAACTCGTCCGGCGTCAGAAAGAGCGCATCGGGCTGCGAGGCTAACGGGACGGCTACGGCGGTGGGGATGATGCCGGTGGAGGTGAGTTCGGCCGGCTCGCGGACATCAACGAGGATGAGTTTCTTTTGCGGGGTTGCTGGGGTGATGGGGCCCGGTAGGGTCGGATGGGAGGGCGGCGTTGATCTGTAGAAGGCATTTGTTAGCGTTGAGTCTGCTGGTGCAGCGGCTGTTGAGGTAGGGGGAGGGCAGGGCATACGTCTTCGAACTTCCAGCTTCGGGGCGGCTTGGTTGTATAGTGGTTGAGGCGGCGGGCTGTCTGCTGCCGGTGTGAGAGATACTGTTGGATATTACTCGATGCGAGTGCGAGCCTTGCGGTTTGGGGCCTCGGCGTTGTCGAGAAGCTTCGCGGGCTGGTTGGTGAGGACAGAAGGGCCGTTACGGCAGCGTGGGGGTAGCTTTCTGGGAGGTCTGCTTTGCAGTACGTGCTGCGAGAGCGGCGATGGGGCGCCGGATTGAGAGTACCGAGGCCATGATTGTAAGGATCTGTTGTCTTGATGATGGCTGTTAGCGATGGTTCTTCGCCGTGATAAGAGAGGTTCACTGCGGGGTTTCCTCGCTTGGGAATTCTTGCATATCCAGAAGAGAAATCACATAAAAATAAATATAGGCTTACCGACGGACAATCAGTTTACTCCTGAGCTGACTGAGGAGATAGTTACCCGGATGTGCGAGATGAAGCTATCCGATTGATGTAGCTCGGCTCTCTTGCGGCGGCTTCGGTGGGTGATGTCAATCTTCCGCAATATCACCGCCTACCACTTCAGACCTAGAATGGTGCTCAGGTCAATGAATGGTTGTAGTAGGATCTTGAACCGCATTGGATTTGATTTCCAGTTTTTATAATCATTGCTTCCCTGGATGAGTATTTAAATAGTTTTTCTTGCTGCTGTCCTTGTGGCAGGATGCCTACAGTCGTCGCCGTCGACGGCATTGAATTCGGCTTTACCATGCAACTGAAGATATATATACTCCGCACCGTCAACACAACTGTTAACCCGAGGCTACTAACACCAACGTAGAGTTAGGACGAAAGGTGGGATGAATGATCGTTTAACTTAGCATCAGTACCAAAATAGTAGGTTTAACTTAACATCGGAGACTACTTGTACACTGCTTCGAATTGAACGACCCAGGGCTGTCGCAGGTAGCTCGCCGCACAGCTCATGGGCCATGACGCCTATCAAGCTAAACATGCTACTGAAATTGCTATTTGGTCTGGAAAAGACAATCAGCATTGACAAGAGAAACCTGTACGTATGTAGACAAATCTATTTACAACCAAATACGCCTCGAGCACAAGAGTGTTCGAAACCAAACATGACAAGAATGAAGAAATCTGGATGATTAATATTACTAAGTAGCATAATCTAAAGATGCCATTGCTTCAGCTTTCTGACTGAAGCAGACGATTCCGCATGAATCGCGTCATATCATATACCTTCGGGACTTCTTGAGCCCTGGGATAAGCATGGTTCGTCAAGAAGAATGCTGAACATCTCCATTCCCGGCATTCTTCCGCAATTTGATAGACCCAGTGACTTTTGTATGGAATAATAGAACAATTGAATGGAAGAAAATGTCCTCATTACCCTATCTCCAGGATAGAAACAGACGGCCGAATGATCATCAATTGGCCGTTCATGCTTCGCAGAATGCAAGCGAATGCAGTGTTGCTTACGGCGTCGACCAAGATGTCAAGGCTAGATCACTTGAGTGATGAGAGAGATCATGCACGGGGACGGAATGTGAGGTGGCAATCGTCCTAAAACAGAGTTAGAGTGCATAGCAGACAGAAAAGCGTGTGAATATCATACCTCTGGGAAGATCGTGGCAAACACCTTGATGTCCTCAGACTGGGGAGTGGGAGCGTGCTCCCAATCCATTTCCAGACTGGCCTTTCCAATCATTGCAATCAAGTTCAGCTGAGCATATGTTTGACCCAGGCAGTAGTGGGGACCGGTGCCGAAAACCAAAAAGTTCTTGGCTTGCTTGTCGGCATCGCCGGTGATCCAGCGGTCCGGGTCGAAAGAGTCGGGATTGGGGTACGCCTCTGGGTCGTGGGTGGCAGGCCACACCGATGGAATGATCATGGAGCCCTTCGAGACGGTGATGGAGTCGGTAATGGGGAAATCCTTCTTGACCAAGTAGGGAACCATGATAACGGGCGGGCGATAACGCAGAGTCTCCCTGACAACAGCACGAGTGTACTTCATCTCGTCGACCAGATCCATAGTGAGAGGAGCATTGATATTGCCGTTGCGCACGCGCAAGTTCTCTTCCCGGATCTTCTCAAGAACGTCGGGACGATCGGCCACGAGTTGGAACAACCAGGTGCAAGCCGCACTGGTGGCGTCTTGCGAGGCGAACAACAAAGTGAAAACAGTCTGGGCGATCTCGTAGTCGGTGAACTCCCGGAGCAAGTGAGAAGGCTTCTCAGAGTCTTCCACAGGGAGTCCCTTGGCAATCTTCTCGTTGTATTTGGCGGAATCCTGCTGTGCCTTGACCCATGCGTCCATGATACAGGTGACCTCCCCACCAGCAGCCATATGAGCCTTGCTCTTGGCAGCACAGTTGGAAAACTCCTCGAGAACCATATCCGACGCCTTCTTTCCGTACCAGGCCTTGGTGAAGGGGAGGATGAAAGGGAAGTTGACCAGCTCCAAAGCGGCTGTAATCATGTAGTAGTCATCCGCAATCTTCTTGATGGCCGCGTCAGTCATATAGTGGCCGACGAAGGTGCGGCAAGAGACCGCACACATGAGCTCACGGAACTCGGGCATCCAAGGCTCGGGCTTGTAATCGTTGGCCTTGGACTTCTCCAGGAAATGCTTGTAGTACTTGTTGTAGCATTCTTCCATAACGGGGAGGTAAGAAGACAGAGCCGAGCGGGTGAAGAGACCGTTCAATCCCTTTCGGAATTCAACGTGCTCTCTGCCATCCAGAAACACCCAGTTATCCGGGCCGAGGAGCTTATGCGCGATGTCTACCACGCAAGGCTTGACATAAGCAGGCGAATTAAAGATCTTACGCGACATGTCGCGAGTGGACGCAATGACGACGAACCTGCAAGGCGAAGCTGTCAGAAACAAGCCCAAGAAATGGAGAGGAAAGTAATTCTCAGTTCAGGGTGTATCTTACTTGTGGAAGACGGAAACGCAGCTCAACTCGCCGCTGTCCCATTTTGCCTTGTATTCGTGAAACTTGGGGTTCACAGACTGGAGGAAAGGTCCCATAAAAGGCAGTTTGAAGGTTGGCCCAACAAGGGAGCCCTTGAGATAAAAGTATCGCACTGTATCCGGAGAAAATCAGTCATTTTGTCCCAGGATATCATGCGCCCGTCTTGTTGCAACAGAGACGGATCGGGTCCTGCTTACGCTGGTCATAGATAACAGCTGCGAAGAACAAAGTCGCCAGAGCCTTCCAGAATGTGAAACCATTGAGAACTGCAGAGAGAGTGTCGGCGTTATAGAAGAGCTGAGGAGAGATTGTGGCATCAGCCGAAGGGGAGACAAAGCTCCCGTTGACGTTGGCCATGTCGAGTAGCACGCGGTAGCGGAAGGATGGATGAGGGAGAGTGGCTTCACACCCAGAAATTCAGGGAGAAGCAGTTCTAATAAATTATTATTAATAAATCCGCGGGAGGGGAAAAAGAATCCCAATTTCTTTTATGCTAGGGAAATTAGACGCCGCGGATAGGACGGTTCCCGGTACGGCGAGGCCTAAGCGACCAGATATGCAGTTTCCTTTGAACGAGTACGATGTCTTGGTACGGAGTAGGCTACCTAGAAGGGATTGAAAATATCAAAATTACGGAAAGGACCTGACGGAGTACGTCGTATGGATCATTATCCTCATTGATAAAAGGGTCGCGTCCAAAGCGAGGGCGTCAGGATCCAAACCACCATGCTTTCCATGACATTTTACTTTTTTTGCTTTACCCCTGAGACTGTAAATGATCCGCAAACCAATCATAAAATACGATGTCTGTGTGACCGGAAGACCAAAGTCCCCATTCCGTTGGCGTATCACGCCAAGACGATGGGTTTTTAAGGGAACCAATAGTACCATACCCACCCGACCAATATTGGTGCAGCGCATAGACATCGTATTTCACCGCGGTACTGCGACTACTGAAATAAGCTACCGCAAGGTAGGTATATGAAATGCGGAGGTCCGATAACACTACTAGGTATGCCTTTGACCTTGCTTGTTCGCTCTCTGCAACTTTGCGAGTACTACGTCGCATGTTTGGTAGGGAGAATCTGACAGTCTTGAAATGGATGGGCCCTCAGCGCCCTTTTGAGTTGACATAACGGGCTAGAGCAAGCGCCACATATACTCATAGTAAAGTAAAAACAGTACAAATTTGATTGAGTTGCATTGAAATCCACCTCAAATCAGCAAAGCTTATCTAAGTAGATAGTAACTGGAGATCAATAGATTTGACGAGGACAAGGCTGTTTGGGAAGCATAACCATTGTTTGAAACTTCCAATAAACATAGATTTACTTGACGAATATCCAACAGTAAGTCCTTTATGATACGCTTCAATAAATACCGGAACGTACTCACCTAAGCACCGATAAAAATCGCCCTTAAATGCAAGAATGAATCAGGTGCAAGGCTTCCCGTAGAAGCTTGCCGTATCTACTTAGTCGGGTAGTACAGCCAGGAGCTTTTGTCCAATCGACACTCATGCAATAGCCATGAGATTGGTCCGGTGGAATCCGCTTCTAGGCCCTTGCAGAAGGAGTATTCGGGGGCTGCATTCGAGTGATCTTATCACCAGGTTCCATGTCCAATTTGACAGCTGATCCGGCTGGTACGTTTCCGGGGCACGTGTCCATCAGATCGCTTCTCTTCATAGGGACTACTTAAAAGACACCTAAGGCATCAGCCCAGAGCCTCAGGGTTCTACTGCTGCATGGGAAGTGATAAAAGTAACATCGTTACTTCATACGGCAGATTTTCTCGACATCCATGATAGCGTCTCATCTCAGCATTAGTCGCTGCATGGGTTTCATCATTTCAAATACTCTCATAGCATTGACTACGCCAGTAATATGCAGGTTTTCTTTTAAACACCGGCGATCAAGTGCCGAAGAAAACAATGATATGCAGCAGGTGAGCCCTTATATCAGCGCCCAAACCCAAACCAGCCACGTCGTCCTCCCTTCTTCTCCTCTGTTCCTGTTTCCATGGGGGCCTGGGCATCTTCCTGCGCGTGTGCACCTTCTCGAGGATAGTCGATGTAATTCCATGCCACATCGAGGAACAGTGGCTTGACCGGAATGGGCTGCATTCTAGGCGGATAGGGGACGAGGTTACTCAAATCCACTTTATCACCGGAAAACTCGTGCAGGCGCTCTATCACCGGGCGCTGGTTTCCTGTCTGAGGACCTTCGGCTGCCATCTTCTCCAAAGTGACAAGACCCCGGTACTGTGCGACAAGACCTTGCAAAATCGACGCGAGAGCTTGAACCTGGCTGCGCGAGACATCCAGCCTTAAAGGCTCGTTTGACAGTTGAGAGGACTGGTCAGACACTGTCGACTGGGTGCTGAGCTGCAGCGCTTGCGAGTAAAGTGCAAGAGCATTCTTCGAGTTTCCAAGGTAGCAATGAGACCGCGCAATAGACAAACATCTGTGGCATTGTCAGTTAGCCTGAATTGTAACAGCCAGCAA